CGTATTAAGAAGGAATGACCTTAATTTACATGTATAATTCTTTCCATTATAAGCGACAAAGTTCAATAAATTGTTTGCTTGTTTTTGCACATGTGTCTATCTCATTTCGTGAAATTTCTCATGAGGTACATATTTCGAACCTGGTCAATAGTGTTTGTTTAATTAACCTATATACTCATTATATCGTCTACTTAATGCCATCTTACTATCATGGTCGTTTTTTAGAATCGTTATAAACGGATTTTACACAACTTTTGGTGCCGAAACCATATTTTTGGTTGTAACGATCTATTGCTAAATTATTTGCATAAAAGAGATCGGATAAACAAATCATAAATAAGGCGCTTGTATGTGTTCATTATTGTTTTTTGGTCTTATCAAAGCTCGGTGTGATTGTCTATAATGAGCTCTCGCGTATAGTAAAGAAATGTTGCCTAAGTATTTTATTTTAACCATTTTTTGCGTTGGTAATTTCAAAATTAGTTTTCCACTTTTACGCACATACGTGTGTATTTTCCAATGCATATACACGTTAAAATATTTGATTAGTTCTGAATTCGTAAAGAAAAAACAGAATGGTTTTGTCTGATGCAGCACATTAGTTTATTAAGGACCTGTTCTCATAAGTGGTTATTCTTTATTAGCATGAGGGAAACAAAATAAAATGCATATCTAGTGGAGGCGAAACCGAAATTTAAAGGATGTCAAAGGGGCATTTAATTTGGTTAGTGGGCACACAATGGGTTCTAACTGCGGAGATCTAGAAGTGCCGCGGACACAGTTTTGCGCCTTGAGTTTCTGCCGCAGTTGTTGACGATGACCACGTGTGTCGTTGGTGCTGTTTTATTATTATTGTTAGAGGTCGAATTCCAAATCTTTCATTAGTAATTTTCATCATCATTTTTTTAAAGCGGACAATATCAGTAGCTACACATCACTTCAAAATATTGAACATCATAAAACAAGAGGTACGAATGTTTATTATTGGACAATAAGGAATTATGAAAATACTATAAGCGTTTGAGGTATGGTAGATATGATGTTTTATCCCCAAATGGCAAGAGGGTTTAAAATTTAAAAAGAATCCACATACAGTCGAATGACCTTTTCTTAGTCTGTCTTGACTCCAACCTAACGATTTCAAAAATTCATTCTCAGATGTAACATGCACTACAGTTTACTTGAATACAAAACAGAAATTAGGGTTACGATTTTAATTTTCACCAACTGGCTGTCACATTGTTCTGTGCCCGTAAGAGATAACAGCCGATCTAAGAGATGACGAAGTGCTTTTTATTTTCGTTTTTGGTCCGGAAAAGGATAATGCGATTCTCTGATAGATAGCACTGGTCAAATGACTTCAAATAAATCGGTAGGTACATACATCCTTATAGGAAACCTTCTCAGGCATAATGGGCTACTTAGAGACATACCTATTGGAACCAGAAACAGGATTTAAGAGAAGTAGAAGTAGACCTAGGATTAAATTATTGTTCACAAATAGTTAAGGATGTGGAATGCTCTAGTATTAGGTAAATGCCCAGGATATGAAAGAGTGGAGTGCGGGTCCAACCAATCTTGACTGATGACCCTATGATGATGATGATATTCTTATTAGCTATTCCCCGACGAAAAGTTCTCTTACTTAATTTACTGAGTATCAAACTGATGATGTTTTTCAAATAGATACTGTAGATTGTCAGACATCTCAAGCAATTTCGTTGCAATCGTTACATGTTTCGGAAAGACATTGTCCGCTTGGGTAGAATGGTGGTCACCACGTTACTGGAATTCCTGGCACGCTAGCCACAGCGGAGGCATCTAGCAGCGGGGGTCAGTTCAGTGATATCTTGATGGGGTCCGGCTTGAACCGCAGCCGATGCTGTGCTACAATGCGATGGTCTCGCGTAGTAGTGGCCCGCTCGAGAACTCACACCTCCATTCTCTTGAGGCCAGGTGTTCGAACCGTACCCGGCTTCTGTCAACCGACACGGAACATGCCAAGCCTACTCTCGCCGCTGCGCTGCTGCGTCCGTCCATCAGACAGGGTGACTGAGATCTCTTCTGATGGATATTTCAAACGCAGAAATCCCGACTGACGGACGGACGGACGTTGCATAAAAATTTATCTGATCCTGAGAAATCGGAGAGCTTGGTTCTTCGAAATAAGTTATGCCTTTCTTTTCATCTATCTACTGGTCGCAAGTTTTTATCGTTAGGTTGTATCTGTTGATCAGATAATGGATCCTAATTGCTTCTTGTTTATCTGAACGATGAAAGATTGTAACTAATGAGTATGTCAGGTCATTAGAAATTTTAGAAGTTTGGGGAGTTTCTCCAGGTGTTACTTTCGGAATTCTTTTAGATGTAGACAGTTAAAAAGAATGTTTTTCATGAATTTCCGATCTACATATATTTAAATGAATTTTAATGGACCGGCGACTTAATTCACGAACCGACATTAGATTCTTCTTCATTCAAAAATATTTCAAAAGGATTAACAGATATATATTTGCATCCCTCATTGAAAATGATTACCTATTTTAGTTAAGATTACAAAAAAACCAAGGATTCCAATATAGGACTACCTTGAAAATATTTTTCTATACAAGAGAACACGCAGATGTATTGTGTGATATAGAAACTGTCCGACAGGTTCTTGCGATCTTTTCGAAGAGAGCGACATTAATCCGGCGTTACAAATCATCCTCTTTCATCTACGTCACCTCGAAAACAATGCCGACAATAAGCATAATTTCCGATGCTAAATCATCTTACGTCGATCCTTAACGAAGTTAAACGACCACAAAAAGAACCAAAGGACTTCTTCGTTCGGACAGGACCATCACGGCCGGTTATTTTGGAATATTACCTATGCATCGTAAACTTGGAATCGTATAACTTGGAATAGAAATGTATCAGAACGGTTCTATATACACAAACTAAAAGTATTTTTCTTATTTATGTTCAATAGATATGCAGTTGAATTATGTTGGAAAATAAGTACTTTATTGAAAGAGTACAATATCTCCTATCGACTTTTTTTTTACAAATTTCTGTGGCAGCAATGTGGATAAAAATACAGATTTTATCAATTTACTCAAATACCTAATTCCTCTCAAAAAAAATCAAAACTATCAGTATTTGCTAAACATTTTGCCGCTTCATTGTAATAAGTTTCGGAATAACGTTTAGTTCAGGTAACTGAAGATTGAAGATTACCGCCGCTTTTATTAGGATGCAAATCTGTTCTCCTAATCAAGGAAATTGAAGTTTGTAGCACTATAAAAAAATCTTTCGGTTTAACACTTTTACTAGATTTGGTCAGACTATCACTTAGTAGCAGTGGATAGTTAATTTTTATGAAAACACTTAATTGTAACATTCAATAGCGGACTAGGCGGTTTAAATTGAACGCGAAGTAAGAGGGAAGCAGAATGCAAAAAATAAACCACTTTTATGTTTACTAACGATAGGTTTTCATTTCCGTTCAAATAACTTCGGGGACCTCTCAACGTTAACACTGAAAACCGTTTGGCATGTATTTTTGTTTAATATTTAGCTATTTAGATTGGTACGGAGACGAGTAGTACCCAAAGTTTGCTGCTCTAAATTCCCATCGTCCACAATAATAAATTCGAACGCTACCTGGCTTTATTATAAGAAAACAGACAAAATCGAATTTCAATGCTATTGATCTGCAGACGCACTACAATGAACGAATTGTATTCCTCCACCCGTGTATTCTTATTCAGAATGAAGATTATCGAGCGTACCGAACTGTCAGAATTGCAAAGGTGCCTGAAAGAGGAAGGTAAATCTAGCACCTGGTTGCACATTCACGAATTTGTACCTACAACAGCTTTGGATCACTGTCATAATTATTTTCGGGTTACATTAATAAGAACAATAAAAAATAAGCGTTGCAGAATTAATTTGGTAAAAACAATTCGAAACTGCATTTGTTAATTTTATACGGAAACGAAATTTGGTTTTCATGCTTCATATTTAAGCTAAAATAAGCAAGCAAGTCGTAAAGAAATATCTTCAGGAGGTGCCTTCATAATTTACTAATAAAAAAATTAATTCTTCTTGCATTCTTTGTGTTATTAAAAAAAAACGGATAGACAGGCACACCAGTGATCCTATAAGGTTTCGGAACTACACAACCCTAACCCGAGAGCCCGATAATTAATTTAACATAATATTTGAAAAAAACAACATGTTCTCCCATTCATTCAAACTGCAAATGTAAATTGAAAGTACAATATTGTTTTGTTGAATGATTTATCACATTATGTTCAGACCATAAAATTCTTATTAATTTTCCTGTAAAATCTGTGAGAAAAGAACCATTTTCTGTATTTTTTTCAAAATTTTAGGTTACCATTAAGATATTTATTTTTAAAGACATAATTATTGAAGAATCAAGTAACCACAAAAGTTGATGCGGTTTAGAACTCGAGACCTGTCTTTCTCAACTCGGTCATGTTTCTTACTTTTTGTCAACGATTCTGGAACAAAGTTCTTTACACCACTACAGCGGCCAAGGGGTTAACCATTCATGTTAGTTAATGTTTTTCAATGCGATATGCCCAACGCCCTGGTTCATTTGTAGATTCCTGTCATTGTAAACCACCTCTAAAAGTGCATGTTTGATACATAGCTCTCTAAGGGTGCGGAATGTAGACATTAGACGCAACAAAAAGGAAAAGGTCATTTGACATGAAGGGTTGGCCGTCCTTGTTGTAGATAGATGAGTACGTTTAATTAACATTATTTCTATTGTCCTTTTTTATTACATTTGTAAGAAATATGTTGAAATTGACCAATTGCTACACATCATTATCATGTATGTGTGTCCTTGTGTGCTCTTGACCTATGTTTTTTATTGGCACGCGTTATTAAGTAATTTGATATAAAAAGAAATAGGCGAAATGCGAGTGAAAGACAGCAAAACTAAGGATTAACGAAAGCGAATGTATTCGTTTACAACTTACCGGCACGCAACGCGTCCATAGGCACGGATGGGTACGGGATTGAATATGGATAACCTTCTTTTCGAAGCGTCTTCGGCTTTCTCCTGGGCCTGTATTTGTAATCTGGATGCTCTTTCATGTGAAGGGCTCGAAGCCTTTTAGCCTCGTCAATAAAAGGCCTCTTCTCGTCCTCCGTCAATAGCTTCCATTCTGAACCTAAAACGTAAAATAAACACTGTTATTAATTATGCATTGCAGTTGAGAAACAGCATTAAATCAAATGTGTGTTATCCAACAAGTCATCTGATCTGGTTGAAAAGATTTCCTACCAAAAATATTCAATTAATATTATGTATGAAATGCCGATGCGAAATTCACTGTTTATGTAGAGATTAGTGCGTAAAATTTTTGTTCGACTAAGATATGACCCCAATAAATTCTAGTGGGAACTACTTAGATAAGTGTGATGTATATCAAATACAATTACTAATCAAAGAAACTAATTCACACTATGACAATCAAATTAGATCAAAACAAAGTGTTGAGATATAATTTGAAATAGTGTTATTTTTAAACTAGAGTTATTCAATCAAATATATATAAAAATGTAGGGATGAGTTACAGAGATAGAAGTGATACTTAGTTTATATGAAGAGCAACAGGCAGTTCTAAAGCTGGAGCTGCAACGTAGAGAAGTAAATATTAGGAAGGAAGTCTGAGAAGAATGCACACTGTCACCGAAAAAAAAAAAGAAAAGGTTGGAAGCGTTCGAAATGTGGTGTTAAAGGCCAATGATGAGCATACCGTGGATAGAGAAAGTTAGAAATGAAGAAGTATTAGAAAGAATAGTGGAACAGAGGACTCCATGGAAGTCAATAAGAAATAGGCGAGATAGGTTGGTAGAATACTTTTTTAAGAATGAAGGTTTAGAGTATAGAGGCAGAAACAGGAATTAAGAGTAATACCTACAGATAGATCTAAACTAAATTATAGTTCAATAATAGTAAGAATGTGGGTTGTCAGATGTCCAAATGCTATATTTGACAATAATGTAGCAGCTTATAAATAGCCAGGACTAGGACTGCTTTCCGAATTGCCTAGGAGTCTTTGAAAGTAGTTTATTATTCATAATGGTTACGACATGGACACAATTTTCATCCGGAATCCCAAGTATAAGTTGATGACTGGCAGTGGAGGCTGAAGGCGTACCACTCATTAGGTTTTTTATTATTATTACCTTGTCCGCGCGGAATTCGATTGTGTAGCAAACTTTTATTTTACACCTTCAATTCTAATATTTTCAAAACAATTTTGTATAGTGGATTAAACAAAATGAATTAGGTATTACCCTTTTTTCGTAGAAAGAAATCCTGGCAACTTCATTAAAAAATATTAAAGGGTGTGAATTTGCAGCTGTATGTATTTTTGCATGACAAATTTTTTGAAAATAATTAAAAAACAATTTTCGGTTATAATTTAATGAATCATAATTTACTGATCGAATTCAAACATTTCTTTAACAGCTGGTCGGCAGTTTTTCCTATTAACGCAATTTTCGGCTTTTCTTTATAAACCAGCGATTTAATTATGAGGACTTGTTTCTTTGGTAAAAAATGGCCTTTGTTGTCCAAACTGTATTCTAAATGGTTGACTGTAACTACGATCGGTAGTAAACAAACGCATTCCTAAGAAATTTTCGTCGCCGGATCTTTGATGATTCAGTCACGGTATCCGTTGACCCTGACAATTACAATCGTTATGTCGATTGTCGTACAATGAAAAAGTGAAAGATTTAGACCAATAGCCGCGGTTGAAACGACGCCGCCCGGAACGGAACAGTCTACAAAAAAAACTGACACATTTTCCACCAGTTCTTCTTTTCCGATAAAGGGATGGACTTCGCAGTGGTTGAATGAATTCCGAAGAACGAGGATAAGGAGAAAAGAGGTAGTAGGTTTGGAGGTGGTGCGATAGCGGTGGCATGGTGCGGTATACTAAAGATGGATCGACCGATACGACGAGGCGAAATAGAAATTGGGAGATTTGCTTCTGTTGTCCTTTATTCCTGGCAAACGCTGCTCTGAATGAGACAATGGCACTGCGATGTCTCTTTAGTTGGCTTTGTTCGGTCGCTTTGTTCGTCGAATAGATACTTCAAGTTACAACGTTTCAAAGAGAGATTGGCTGCGATTGCTTTATCTTATTTTGTTAGCTGTCAGCCGTCGCTTTTATCGAACTGGTCTTATGAACTTTCGAAACAATGACAAGTAATTGGTACCAAATGAACATCCAATATCATTAACATTAACACATACTTTCAGCTACCGTCGTCATTATCTCGTGAACTCGAAACGACTAATAGGTACTTGCATACTTACTACCAATATTCAATGGATAGTTTCTTGAAACGGGCACTTTCGTATATAGAGTGAATTTATTTTGAGTATTGATCGAAATAAATATTTTTTTTATGTTTTCGTGGAAGAGGGAAAATCTTCAAAAGACACCTAGCCGTCCGTACGACTGGGTAGTGTCGGATTCCCGAGGAAGAAGACCTCGAACCTACCGACTAAAACTCCTCTACCTACCGTTATAGTCGGTAGGTCCGAGGTCTTCTTCCTCGGGAATCCGACACTACCCAGTCGTACGGACGGTTGGGTGTCTTTTGAAGATTTCCCCTCTTCTACGAAAACATAAAAATAAAAAATAAATAATGGAAAGATCTCTCACCCCATCGCTAATTGTTAACTTTTAAACTTCCCAACATTATTTATACAGATTTATATAGTGTCAGAAGCCCATCATCATACATACAGGTCTGACGAAGGAAGCTGGCGAGCGGTCGCGCAAATACTTGCCCATTTATGACCTATTTGGGTAAGTCACTTGGAACCGATACACAAATAAGCTTTCAGTAGGCGTAAATTATAGTATTAATACAGATAGGACAGTAGCGTACTAGAAAATAATGTAAAAACAT